GGGGCTTTCCGACTGACCGGGGGGCTGCCTGGGGGATGTCCCACTGATCGGGGGGCTGCCTGGGGGATGTCCGACCGACCGGGGGGCTGCCTGGGGGCTTTCCGACCCGTCGGTCATGCACTCCGGTCGGTCGGACAGCCCCTAGGCAGCCCCCCGACCAGTCCGAGGACAGCCTCGGGGCAGCCCCCCGGGCAGCCCGCGCTTTCCATTCGAGCAATGGGTCCTCAGACCTAAACTGTAAGAGGCAACGAGGCTTACTTCAACTTGTTTGAATCTACAAAAAGCGTAGACGCTTACCTGCAGCTCTTTCGTCTTTGCTTTTTGATCGCTCGCGTGGTCGCCCATGGTGGCCACGATGATGTCCGAGTCAAGCGACATGCGGGCAATCTGCTGGGCCGCCTCTGGGTCGATCGCCAAGCAGGCCCAACGAAGTCGCTCAAACATCACCTCGTGCTCCTTAACCTGTTCCGCAACAGTGTGGTTGGCAAGAGACTTCCACCCAACAAGGAAGCGCACCGTCTCGTTTTGCTCATTCAAAACGTCCATGCCCACTGCTTGGAAGTCAACACCACCTTTCGTTGTGCCATCACTGGACAGGTTGACGTTTCGAGCGCGCCCGTCTAGCCAATCTTTTGAAAGACGGAACTCTGTCAAGTGCCCCATTTCTAATTGAATATTGCTCACGGTTGACACCGAAGGGGGTTTGAGCAGGCGGATGCTCTTTGCGCCTTGAGAGACGGCGCTAAATGTAAGCACTTGGTTGATCAGGGGGATTGCGTTCTCGATTGAGACGTTCTTAGAGAGCATGACTTGGAGAAGGTGCCGAAGGTCGGTATTGACCTGACTTCTGTTTTCTAACCCGACCTCTCTCGTGTTGATCTTGACCGTTTGGTTGGCTACCCCCTGCCGGCTTTTCCGGTACCCCACTGCCCGCCGGAGTTTCTGGCTTTCCGCGCGGTACCTCTCCAAGAGTTCGTCGGCTTCTTCTTTCTCCCCCTTCATCTCCAAAAGGAGTTCTCCCCCGGCCTTGATCTCGCTTTCTAAACGTTCTATCTTTTCCGTTTGCCTCCTACATTTCTCAAGCCCCGCTCTCCGCAACCGATCCAACTCTCTCTCCCATTACGCACGACTTGCAAGTTCTTCTCCGAGGCGCACTCTGGCTTCGCTCCCTTCAGTCAAGTCCCGCTGCAAACCCTCAAGAACGGCCGCTTCCGTTTCGAGGACGCTTTCGAGTTCGGACCGAGCCTCATAAGCTGCTTTTTGGTTTGCAATGATTTGAGCCTCCAGTTCTTCGACGACTCGATCTAGAGCGGGGAGGTATGCATCGGGAAGGACATCTCTTAGGCGAGCTAGGCACGTGTCTACCGACTGAGCCCCATCGGCAGCGCCTCCTTGGTTTCCCCTCCCCTCATTCCGTTGTTGCTGCCCTTGCCCCGCCCCCACTCCGTCCCCCCCCTCCGCCCCTGGCTCCCTTGCGGACTCTCCGCTGGAAGATCCCCCTCGATCGCCAGCCGGAGAGTCGCTCCGAGCATCAGGAGAACATGCTGCCGTAGCCGCCTGGGCCAACGGCTCCTGGACACAAGTCCCGTTCCTGGAGCTGGTGTCCTGTTCTGCCGCGGTCTGCAGACGTGTAGTCACAAGGATTGAGTCACAAAAGAACTAAACTTTTAGTATATTGATCAGCAGTACTGTTGACTGAGTGGCGGTGCAGAGCGGCACCGTCTGGAGGCCTAGCGTCCAACAAGGATAATCGGTCAAACTGAGCTGCCTGCTGTCTTGTGCGGCCCTTTGGCAGCATACAAAGAGTCTCGCTATACCCTTCAACCCCGGATCAAAAGCTTCGCAATCGCTACCAAATGATGTTCTTCCGATGGTACCTGAGAAATCATTGCTAGATGATCAATACACTAGACCATGTAGCTGCATGTCGTGCGTAAGCAGGTTCCGATCTGAGCCTTACCGTCCTCGAGTTTGGTTGACGCAGTGTCTCAGTAGCGAGTGACGTCATGCCAGGTTGTCGAAGTGCTTCGAAGCCGGTGACAGACTGATTTGGAGCGGCGACCGACTCGCTTTCGTTGTTGGCCACCTGGCAACAACAATCGATCAGGGCCACACGAGAAGTCAATAAGTGCACGAGCCAGCTGTACAACCTACCAATCTGTTGTCTTGATCTTCAATACGACATTGCATTTGAGTTGTGAAACTTCGAGCTGGGCACCCACGTCACGAGATTACGTTTGATGCTGCCAAAGCTTGCAAAAGCTGGTGATCAGGTGATTGATGCACCCAAGCTGCCAATCATCGAGCTGCCTGAAACCGATTTGAGCTGAGACTCTTTGCCATTCCTCTTTCAAGACCTCACAGATGAAACATCAAGAGGACGTCACAAATGATCTTTCGTTCAATTTCAAGGTCGAGTCGACTTCGAACCTGAGCAGTATTACTACAGTCAGGTTCCTTGACTAAGGCAGTCAGGTCAGTGCTAGTGCCCCAGGACCGTTTGGCCATGCGGGAATGGACTTTCGACACTTCGACTGACCCTTTACACAATTCATCTCTTGCAATGCCATTGCAAGCCGCATACAAGTTCGTCTTGTACGACTTCACTTTTACAATGCATCCCCTCGCCCCCATCTCCTTCAAACCTGGTGAGAGTCGCATTAGGAATGTGCTCAGAGCAATTTGCTTCGTACTGCAGGTAGGTGGTAACGAAGCTGAACCTAGGCCCGTCACCCATCTTTCAAACCCCAACAGTGTTCCAACTGTGAGTGGTCGAAGCTGGAGATCACCAATTTGATCGGGTAAAGTCTCTAATGCACTTTCCAAGCCTAGAAAATGAAGCAATTCTGATTCGTTCTCCTGCAGCAACCTCACGGCCTGAGCTATCCTGGCTGCCATATTTCTGTCATTGAGGGCTCATCAGAGCATTGCAACGGGCCTGGCATGACGAATGAACCCTGTAGGAGTGCATCCGATCAGATCTGGCTCAAGCATCCAGTGCGGTTAGCAATGCTGCCTATATCTAATGCGTGCAAGACGAAGAGCAGCACCCCAGGCCTTGGGGTTGACGTTTTCTGCAATTCCAGAGCCGGATCTAGGCGGAATGGTGAATCGCAAAGCCAGCGCCTCTCGTCTGATGCCCCTCTTGAAGAATCGCCGCACACATTTGGCGAACTCCAGCCCGCCGGGTCAGGAGATGGGCATATATGGGGTTAAATTGGTAATTTTAACAGTAATTCCAGTACACTGAGTGCAGCCTACTTATCTGCGAATGTGTGCGACGAAACCTCGAGCGAATATATTCACAAGAACTATACAATTCTAAACTTGACGAAATTCATCATTCCCACTCTGGAATTAATTTCACCCTGATATCATTAACGGTATTTTTTAGTTGGCGATAAATTTTGACCGGTTATTTATAATCGCGGAGCCGCGATAAAAGTACGACGGCATATCTGTTTGACTCGAGAGGCGTACGAAACTCGGTGCGGACCAGCCTCGAACGCCGTCCGAAATGCGGTCGGGGATACTAAAAAGCTGAGCGCTGTTTCCAGTCCGGATTCTACCCCAGTACCGGCCGGCACCTGATGACCCCGCAGGTCACAA